CAACAGGGTTAGACAAATCACTTACTTCAAGCCAAGCTCAATCAGTCAATAAAAATGTCTTTCCCTCAATTTTTCAACTCCGATCGGCTCGAATCTCAAGTTTTTCCGTGAATTCTCTCTGAAAATCGCCCAAAGTCGTGTTAGAAATGTCCAAAAAAATGATAAAAACTCGGAAACCTCTATTTTTGTATACTGCCCAGAGGTTTCGCTTTTGCGGAATTTTTAACCGCATCAGCGGTTCCGCTTTTGCGGTAAATCTCCCGCTTCTACGACAGCCTTTGCTTTTGCGGACTCGCTTCTGCGATGAAGCGTCCGCTTCTGCGGTCCAAGACCCTCTTAGCCCAGGCCGCATCTGTGACCATTGCGTCGCTTCTGCGGTCGCGCTTCTGCGACGCCTCATCCACTTTTGCGGATCATCCGCTTCTGCGATGCCAGGCTCGCTTCTGTGAGCTCGCACCTGCGAGCCAAATTTCGCAGGTGCGATTGCATAAGTAAGCAGCAGCAAGTTTCAATTGTTCTAAGTCCAAATTTGATCTGCTAACCATCTGAAACTCACCCGAAACCCCCGGGACCTCAACCAAATATACTAACAAGTCCTAAAACATCATACGAACTTAATCGAAACCTCAAATCATATCAAACAACGCTAAAACCACGAATCATGCTCCAATTCAAGCTTACTGAAACTTAGAAATTCCAACTTCTACATTCGATGCTGAAACCTATCAAATCAAGTCCGATTGACCTCAAATTTTGCACACAAGTCATAAATGACATAACAGACCTATGAAAATTTTCAGAACTGGATTCCGACCTCGATATCAAAAAGTCAACTCCCCGGTCAAACTTCCAAGCTTAGATTTCTATTTTTGTCATTTCAAGCCTAATTTAACTACGGACTTTCAAATAATTTTTCGGACACGCTCGTAAGTCCAAAATCACCATACGAAACTATTGGAATTATCAAAACTCTATTCCGGGGTCGTTTACACATAAGTCAACATCCTGTCAATAATTTTCAACTTAAGTTTTCATCCTTGAGACCAAGTGTCTCAATTCATTCCGATACCTCACCGGACCTGAACTGACTACCCCAGCAAGTTACATAATAGCTATAAAATACTGAATGAGCAATAAATGGGGGAACGAGGCTACAACTCTCAAAACGACCGGTCGGGTCGTTACAGTACCTCATCCAACATCTTTAACATATCCAATCATCATAGTACGTATTTTTGGATTAGTTCATTGCGAGGTCTATATAGGATACGGTTGAGACATCTGAGACGATCTTCTTCCTTTTAATCCTCTATGTCTACTACTTACACTATTTTCTCATTTTATCATTTCTGATCTTGTCCGTCTTGTTCAATCCACACCCATCTTAGCGTTCACATTTTTAAAACAACCATCTTGTAGATATGTTGAGCATTTAATGCTCAACATTTACTCCTAAACATTATTGATCTCACAATAGTTCTATAAAACTTGCCTTTAACTTTTTAATGTGTCTTCCAATCGCATAACACTCCTATAACTCTCCTCCATCTTAGGCATCCAATTTAATTTAATTCGACATGTTACATCTTGATTTGTTATACTATCATTTTGTTGCAAGATTGAGCCGATAGTATTTGACCAATCGTCTATATTTAGGAACTACAATCTTGTCTAATCTCACTTCTATCATCATTGTTCTTACATACATCATATTTCTACTTACCATGTATGCTATTTATAATTTCATCCATCACTAGGATAAACAAGTACTGGACTCAATGCTGTTTCCAAAATGTTAAATACTATACATAAAAGTTAAACTATTTATATTCAATTTTAGTATATTGTTAGTTTTCTAAAATTATTGTGAAGATGAATAGTGAGATCAAGTAATTGATGCAATGAAGCTTTGGTCAAAACTAACTTAACAGGCTAATTCTGTGCCATATTGATTGTTGACTAGTGACTACTATGATTCTCATCCAGTATTTCGCGTGTCTCTCTCTAATCGTCGTCAATGAAGTAATAATTATAAATTTAGGAAGTTTTTATTGTCCTAGGCAAAGGTTACAAACAACTTTTTGATACTAAATTGAGTTTCAGCTGTCTGCAATATTGTGAAGTTTGTATATGACTACTAAAAATGACTCCCAATATGTAGTATTTTTCAAGATTTGGTTGTTGCATTGATTGGATTTTCTTTCTCAAACTGATATGTTTATGTTACAATATAATATACTCAGTCAACCCCTTTTTCTTGTCACGTACAGGGCGATGTGGTTTTGTTAGATCTTGATATTGATCACTACATTCTGTAAATTAGTTTCTCCATAAGATGGAAACATCAAACTTTGACATTGAAGTACAAGTCTCATCTGGAATTGATTCTGATCTCACTAGTCAGGTCGCGTCTAACATTGAGTTTTCTAAATTAAGTTCAGAACATCTGTCACTTGACTTGTCTCTCAGCTTCAAATCTAGTACCGATGAATTTGCCAGCCAAGATTCGATAGGCTTTTCAGTATCCAGCACGTGCGAAAGCAGCAATGAACCTGTAACACAAAATTCAGGAGGAGAAACAGCAGTTAGAAGAGTTTTCACTTGCAATTTCTGCAATCGTAAATTCTACAGTTCACAGGCTCTTGGTGGTCATCAGAATGCACACAAACGAGAAAGAACGTTAGCAAAACGAGCAATGAGAATGGGCATTTTCTCAGATCAAAGGTATGCTAATTTGGCTGCTCTGCCATTGCACGGGCCTAGTGCGCGTTCCTTAGGAATCAAAGCGCATTCTTCAGTGCACCCTCAGGGTTTTCCACCAACAATGAGATCACTTGATTTCAGGACAAGCGCGAGATTTGAATATGGACAACAGCAGAGTCCGCCATTATACGTGGAGGATATCGACAAGGCTGATCAATTATTATGGCCTGGTAGTTTTCGCCAAGTAACTAACACTGTTGGCTCTCATCATCCTACTTTTGCTTTTGCTGGATGTTCAAATATGACTTCCCTAGAATGGACTCCATCTGTTGAAAAAGATGAATTGACACCAGATCTTACACTGAAGCTTTGAGCAGTTGAAATAGCATATTACTTCCTCAATTTCGATCTCTTACTTACTCTGTACCAACAATGTGTGCATTTTGGAATATATAACTTAACGGATTTGGATTCAAGATCTTTGTTTTGATCTACTACCAGCTCAGGTCCAGTGACTTGAGAATGTTAATTAGGTGATTGATGTACAATCTGAACATGAAGGGGAGCCTTGGAGCAATAATAAGTTGTTTATGTGTGAACTATAGGTTAGAGTTCGAACCGTGCAAGCAGCCACTAATGCTTGCATTAGGTTAGGTTGTTCATATCCCCAAACCCTACGTGAATGTGGGATGCTTTGTGCATCGGACTGCCATTTTTGTTGTACAATCTGAATGTATTTTATTACAAATTGTAACAATTTTCCTTTTACAAATGTTGCTTTAAGTAGGGTGTGATTGTTATTGACTATAATATAGGGTAAAAATCCCTTGAGTGTGTGGTCTATCCATTTGGAAAGATTTTAATCCTAATAGAGAAACAATCAATGTTGTGTTTGTACTAACTGCCTGAGAGATTATGTATATTTCGAATTGTAATTACTTTTCCTCACCAAGCTCTAGTGGTATTAATGTTGTGTTTCCTCTTCCTCCTGCTTCTTCTTCTCTTGAAATTAGTTAAACACCGCCAATCAATATGTTATTAACGATTTCTTATACATTGTATAACATAGGTACGATTTAGCAATACGTTAAAACTTGTATAAAATTTAATGTGACAGGTAGAATGAAGACAGTACCAAAATCAGTCCAACAAAATTTGTGAACAATTCAATAACATATGCAAGTTTTGCCAATCTGGCAGTACTTGTGAACAATATAAAATAGGTGAAATATCGAAGATAACACCTAAGTCTTACCAATCCAGCAAAATTTGTAAATAATTAAACAACAAAACTAAATATTGCCCATCCAATACGATATTGTAATAAAAATAATTAGTCCTTAAAGTCTAGTCTCACGGGTACTAATTAGCACAGGTAGGTACCACGTACCATGCTGAAGTTTCAACAACCCGTGCTGGGATTACAAGTATCTGTGCTGAGCATGGGTAGGTTCGTAGGGGTGTACAAACCAAACCTATAACCCGCACTAACCCGATAATTTAAGTCAACCTAAAAAAAAACTCGACTAGTGGTTTGGTTTGGCTTAGTTTGGTATTGAAAAATAAAACCCGATCATAATAGGTTTGATTTGGTATTAACTAATAAAAGTCAAACCGAAACCAAACCAACCTAATGTTATATGTATACATATTTTATATATTAGATAGATAGATAAAAATATTTATTAGAATGTAAGTTATAAATATTTCTTAATTTTTTTTATAATTTCTGTATTTAGCATAATATTTTAAGTTGGTTTTATAGCCCATGTAAATATTTTTTTTGTATAGCCCATAAAAGAATAATTGAGCCCAAACTAAAAACTAGTCCAAAAGCATAGATAGACTAGTCCTAAACTAGTTCTAAAACACTAAAACAACGAAACCATTTTGCCTCTTCTCCACTAAAAAAAAATTGTGACTATTTCACTGTCTCCGAATGCGATTGCAATGGACACTATTAAACATGAGAAAGTAAGAACATTTGAGGAGTTTGTTGATCGCCGTCTGTACCAGAGCTTGTGGATGTACAAATCTTCTATAAAGGACTTCTCTATATGTTCCTTTAAAAAGATTATCTTTGGAAGAGGAGGGGTGATTGATTAAAGTTTCTATCAGTTTTCTTGAATTGAAATTGGAACTATACAACCTATTGACTAGCATAGTTGAGGTCAATACTAAAAAATAAAAATATGGTTGGTATTAGTAAAATCATATTTAGGACTAAAGAAATATTTGGAGCATAAGTTTATCGGAAAAAAAACTCGAGAAATTCGAGAAAAAACGATATTGAAAAACCCAATTTTTGTTGGTTTGGTTTGGTCTATAGACTTAAAAATCCGATACAATTGGTTTTGTTTGGTAATTGTAAAATTCGAACTAACCCGACCTATGTACACCCTTAGCTGAGGTATCAGATACTTGTACTGAGCACAAGTAAATACCAAGTACTCGTGCTGAGGTTCCTGTATTAGTGAAAAATAGACTCGCCATGTGGGTCTATTAAATGGTGATACATGTCAGCAAAGTTTGGAAAAAAGTGAAAAATGACATGTAAAGATGATATGTGAAATACCCTCGGGACCAAACATACTTGTATCGTACCTATTAGCCTTGGAATTGATCATCATAAAAGCCCGGATCAGGTACGGAAGAATAGTTCATAATTACAAATGAGGAAGGAGTCAATTAATCTCGGATTATATGGGATTTACCATCATTACGCCATCAGTTACAAATCAATAATATAACATACAATAAATACAATAAATAGTTGTAACAGGCAGAACAAGGCAATCAATTATGAAATTGACTCAACAAGCATGAGATTGACTCAACAGGCACAAGATTAACTCAACAGGTACTGGATTGACTCATCAGTTATGGAATTAACTCATCAGTTACAGAATTAACTGTGATGACCCGATGGGTCATCGTATATTTTAAAATCTAATTTTGTGATCCGAAGCCTTAAAAATTATATTTTAGCCATTATCGATTTGCGTGCGCAGTCCGGGCATCTTCCCGAAAAGCTTTTATGTTAAAAAACCGAAAAAATAAGAAATTTTGCCTAAAAACTTTATTTGAGTTGACTTCGGTCAACATTTTGAGCAAACAGATCCGGATTCATATTTTGACGGTCTCGGTGGGTCCGTATCGTAATTTGGGATTTCGGCGTATGCCCGCAATCGAATTAGGAAGTCCCTAACCCGAGATATCAGACTTTGTTAAAATTTGAAAGCTAAAGGCTTAATGAATTTGAAATGTTTGACCCATAATTGACTTTTTGGATATCGGGAACGTATTTTAGTTTTGGAATCCGGTATAGGTCCTATACCATATTTATGACTTGTCTGTTAAATTTGGTGAAAAACGGAGTTGGTTTGACGTGATTCGGACGTCCGGTTGTGAAAATAGAAGTTGTAAAGTTTTCTTAAAAATTTTCTTTGATTTGGTGTCTGATTCGTAGTTCTAGGCAATATTTTGGTGACTTGATTGCACGAGCGAGTTTGTATGATGTATTAGGACTTGTGTGCATGTTTAGTTTGGAGCTCCGAGGACTCGGGTGAATTTCGGATAGGCTACAGAGTGAATTTGGACTTAGAACATTGCTGGTGTATTTCAGTTTTTGTTGTAGGCCTCAGATCTCGCAATTGCGAGATCAATCACCGCATTTGCGACCATTATTAAGTTCGCATTTGAGATCTACTCATCGCATTTACGAAGAGTAGCTGAGGAGGCCAGAGTTCGCATTTGTGAACAATGTTTCGCATTTGCGATGAGAGCTGGGAGGGGGATTCTTCGCATTTACGATCACTGAGTCACATTTGCGATCCAGCCAGAGTTCGCATTTGCAAACTATTCTTCGTATTTGCGAAGAAAGCAGAGGTGTGATGGTTCTCGCATTTGCGATGAATTCTTCGCATTTGCGGGGCTCGCATTTGCGAACCCCAGGTCGCAAACACGACATTTGCAGCTGAACAAAATATGACTTAGACTGGAATTTCGGTTCATTCTTCAAATTTTCAAAACCTAAAATCTTAGAGGCGATTTTTTCCAAGACTCCTTCTTCCTCAAATCACTGGTAAGTGGTTCTAACCTATTTTCTTTCAATCTTTCACTACATTTCACAAATTTTCAACCTAAAATCTAAGATTTTTATGGTGGAATTGGGGGATTTTTGGGTAGAAACTAGGGATTTGGTAAATTGGGGATTTAGACTTCAAATTGAAGTCGGATTCCAAAATAAATTACATAACCGGACTCGGGGGTGATTGGGTAATCGAGTTTTGATCCGAATTTCAGGTTTGGATCAAGCGGGCGTGGGTGTTGACTTTTTCAATAATGACCTAAATTGAATCTTTTGCAATCGTGGGTGATTCCTAAGGGTTATTTTGAATAATTTGGTTGGTAATTTGCTAGATATTGTTAGTTCGGAGGCTGGTTTGACTGAAAGGCAAAGTTGTGGTTGAGCTTTGAGTGGTCTTTGGAGCGAGGTAAGTGTTGTCTAACCTTGACTTGAGGGAATTAGGAACCCTCGGACTATTTGCTAAGTGAATTTCATGTGAGCGGCGTATATGTGAGGTGATGAGTGCTTATGCGCCACCGAATAATTTGTTTTTCCATGTTTCCCCGTTCTTCTTATATTATCTCTTTCCGTGTCTTAGTTGTTATATGCTCTAAATGTGTTTACATGCCAAATTGCTATTTGTAGTCATTGTTTCCTCCTGTTCATGATATTAGTTCTTTCCATGGTTTCATAATCTCCTACTATTTGCTCAAGTTGGTTTATCTGTACCTTGTAGTTGTAAATTCTGGATTGGTCTCGATGTGTATTATTACTTATTCGGATTATCATATTGTACAAGGTTTTCATTTGTTCAGTTGGTGTCTTGGAATTGTAAAGGTTTTTCCTATAATTTGAATCATGAGTTTTACTGTGCTTATTGAGTACTTGATATTGATATAGTGGGATCGGATTACACGCCGCAACATGTGAAATAAGGGTGATATGTTGAGGTGGAATAAGGGTGAATTTGTACTATGCGGTGGGATCGGGTTGCAAGCTGCAACGGGTGGAATAAGGGTGGATTGACATGGTGAAATAAGGGTGAATTATGATACTATTATTGACATATGGTAGGATCGGGTTGCGCGCTGTAATATATATATATATATATATATATATATATATATATATATATATATATATATATATATATATTATTTACTGTTGTTGATATCGTTACGGTGAAATAAGGGAGTAATTTGTGTTGTCTGGTGGGATCGGGTTGCGCGCCGCAACAACCTAAATATTTTCATTTCTTGAGCTGTGTTTTTTTTTTTGGTATTTGTATCTGCATTATGAAAGATTGGTAATTCTGAACGACATTGGTTTATTCTTGAGGCTGTGGTTATTATTTTCAGTTGGCTATTAATTCTGTTCAGTATTCTCATTTTCTGTCATTATTATGTATTGCGTTCAGGTTGTAGTGTAGGTGATCCGCCTTAGCCTCGTCACTACTTCGTTGAGGTTAGGCTCGGCACTTAACAGTACATGGGGTTGGTTGTACTGATACTACACTCTGTACACTGTGTAGATTTTGGAGACGGTCCCAGCAGCGGCTACTAGAGAGCTCGGATTGGATAGCCTGCTAAGACTTGAGGTATAGCTGCTCAGCGCCCGCAGCTCCTGAAGTCCCCGTCTTTATTTTATTTAGTTGTATATTTTCATGTAGACAGCCTTGTATTTATTTCAGACCCTTGTATGTATTACTCTAGAAGCTAGTGCACTTGTGATACCGGATTCAGGAATTTATAGCAGATGTTTTTTCTTTTTTACAGTTTTAGCTTCCGCATTTATATTTTGATTATTGCAGTTAAATCAGTTATTATTCATTA